TATCAGTATCAGTATTATTATTGTTATTATTGTTATTGTTATTATTATTATTAGTAGTAGTAGTTGTTGTTGTTGTAGTTGTAGTTGTAGTTGTAGTAGTAGTAGTAGTAGTAGAACCATGGCTTCTGGGGATACATAAAACAAGCTTGCTCTATTTTCCGTATGACAGCCCTTCAAATATTTCAAGATGCCTATCATATCAACTCTCATGTGATTCCTGGAACCAATACAAAGCAAGCCATCCAGTTTGAAATAAGCTACTATAGGATATTGGCAAGTTAGTCACTGCTGTGTTTTTGTTTTGTCAGAAATTTTGCGTTATACTGTAGTCATATCTGGGAAATACTGAATCTCTTGTATACTGTTCCAAAATCCACAGTCGGCGGGGGGGGGTATCATTTTTAAGAACAAGAAATACACAGAATTGTGAGCAGAGAGTTCCACGCTGTAAAAACATATCATTAATTTTCTTCATATGCCTTCTTCTCTCTATTCGCATCCAAACATCATTATGACCCGCATAATAACTTAGCATCCTGCATATTTGTTATGTCTGTGCTCTTGGATAATTAGTTTAGTAAATAATGTATTCCGTTTTAGTTGCCAGCACTCTGCCTCCGAGAGTTTGAAGTGTTGATGTCACTGTGATGTGCTCATCTCCTTCCATCTGCTCTTCACCTCCTCTTTGCATCTCAGGGTGGGGGAAGGCTGCTGCTTTGCAAGGAGCCATTGAATTGATTTGCCAGGGCAATCTCACTGTGGTCCTACAGCATGCTGGAAAACGTACTCCTTATTCACCTGGGAAGTATCCTATCCTGCTGCCTTTCTTTGATGTGGCCTCATCCAGTGTGATGTCACAGCTTCCTCCTGTTTACCAGTTGCACCCTCAACATATGACGCTTCTGCCTCCCAGTCATGACTCATGAGTAGAGAAGAAGAGGAGCATTTTGCTAGGTTACCTGAATCGCCCCTCTAGGTCTCTGGATAGGAAAAGAGCTTCTTTGTGAAGTCCTGTAAGGGTTTCTCTTTAAGAGATAATGAATAAACAAATCCTTCTTTATAAAGTGTAAACTTAGAGCAGGAAGAGAAAAAAGGCAAAGTCCTTACATGTGCTCAGTCTTCCTGTCAACAGAGTACTAGCTAGTCCTTGGTGCTAATCATCTCTTCATCAACATCTTTCCAATGCTGTCCTCTGTTTTGCTACATTTTGATATGAACTTGTCAGCTCCTGCTGCCCATTTCCCAAGTACATCCATTCTCTGTTCATTTTGTCTGCCAGTATTTGCCTCCCCCACCTCACCAATATTGTTGCTGCCAGAACATGCTCCCACTGTTCATTGAGTTTGGGCCCAATGGGTTCCCATTAAGGCTTCTTGGGAGGAAAGCGATGACAAACCTAGACAGCATCTTAAAAAGCAGAGACATCACCTTGCCGACAAAGGTTCTCATAGTCAAAAGCTGTGGTTTTTCCAGTATTGATGTATGGAAGTGAGAGATGGACCATAAAGAAGGCTGACTGCCTAAGAATTGATGCTTTTGAATTGTGGTGCTGGAGGAGACTCTTAAGAGTCCCCTGGACTGCAAGGAGAACAAACCTATCCATTCTGAAGGAAATCAACCCTGAGTGCTCACTGGAAGGACAGATCCTGAAGCTGAGGCCATCTCATGAGAAGAGAAGACTCCCTGGAAAAGACCCTGATGTTGGGAAAGTGTGAAGGCAAAAGGAAAAGGGGAATGACAGAAGACAAGATGATTGGACAGTGTCATCGAAGCTGCCAACATGATTTTCACGAAACTCTGGGAGGCAGTGGAAGAAAGAAGGGCCTGGCGTGCTCTGGTCCATGGGGTCACGAAGAGTCAGACACAACTAAACAACAACAATTTGCCTTCCACTTACACTACATAGTCACAGACATTTGTTTTGGAGAAAAGACACCTTGACCATGGAGATCTCTATTTAACATTTATTTTGTTTAATAGTATGCTAGATACTTTGTACATAACAATGAAAGGACTGGCCAGAGGACTTTAAAAAAGGATAGATAAGATGAAAGTAGCGAGTAATTCAAAGGGAGGGGGGGAGAATTTGGTAGTACAATCTAGAAAAATATAATGCAGAGGATCAGATCATTCTACGTTTATTAGTGAAAGTATATTTTTTATATTTAAGCTGTATTTAACAACCATTTTATTATTGATCTCATGCCTTTCTTCTGTAGACACCAAGTTTCTTGGTTTTTCTGTATCAATTTGGAAAAAGAACCAGAGATTTATTTTCCCATAATAATAATACTCATTAAATTGTAACAGTGTTCCCCCCCCACCTCACCAATATTGTTGCTGCCAGAACATGCCACCACTGTTTTCATTGAGTTTGGGCCTAATGGGCTCCCATTAAGGCTGACTGACCAAAAACACATTTCCAGATACCCTTCAAAGTCCTGAAATATTCTCCCCAAATGCCCTCCTTTATCTTAGAAAACAATGAAGTGTCTTTTATCTGGGCAGAGAAGGTGCAAAGCAAAAGTCATTGCATACACTTAAGGAGGAATGGAGATCAGTCCATGCTTTCCCTAACCCCACTTTCCTCATTCATTATTGAGGCCATTACCTCACATAAGCAAGGGATGTGCCCAGCCAGATGTCTTTTCCCCAATCTATCAGTTCTTGGCCTTCAGTTGCTGAACAAAAGGGGTGCTTTTATCTTCACAATCTATAAACTGTTTGTGGAACAGGAAAACAGGCACTTCTCCCCTCCTGAACCAAGCTTTTGTTTTAAAATCTATTGCCACCCCTCTGCACAAAATTAGTGCCTTGAGGGTGTGTGTGTGTGTGTAGATATTACACTTCCTATGGGTTCATATCAGACAGTTTTTATTTGCCACACAAATTGGAGCTTTTCTGTTTTCCCCACATAAATTATATATGAAAGTGCACTGCACTGACACCATTCGTTAGAGAGAATAGCAACTATGCATTCCTGTGGGTGGGCTTTAAATCTGTTCCCTTTAAATCTACCTCTGGTGGCCTTAGCCTTCTGAGGGCCAGCAGATCCTTACTTTGGTAGCCCTGCCCTCACCTCTGTTTCTTGGTCATGCTAGAGAAACAATAGGCAATTTTTGACAGGTAGGGAACCCATTGATGATTAGACCCTTCCAAATCCAGCTACTGTTTTAACCATGCTGTCATGTTGCTGTCATCTCTACTATTGTGGCTGCAAAAGTAGCTGCATTTCAACAGGAAAACATGGCATATGGGAGCCAGCCTAGTTTCCTACCAGAGCAGTGTTTTTGGTAGCCCATTGGGAGCATGATTCTCGTGGGAAATGTGATTATTTTTATTGCAGCAGGGGCCCAACATGTGTGTACGTGTGTGAGAGAGAAAGATAAAGAGGTCATGCCCCCCATAGGCTGTAGGTTGTCTTGCTTCCATGCTAGAATGTGAAGAAAACTGAAAAATACGACAAAATATTCAGAATGTGCTTATAGGCAGAGTGATTAGGCAGATAGTGTAGTTCTAAGAAGGGCATAGAAAGAGGGCAGAGGAGTTCTTACCTTTTCTAGGCCCATGTTGTCCAGGCTGAGGGTTTCCATGTACCGCCCAAAAGACTGGAAGGCAAAATCTGGGATGGCCTTTATGGGGTTGTGTGAGAGCTTCAGGTCCTCCACTACTCTCAGCTTGCTCATCGCAGCCACAGGATAGCTGGTCAGCTGGTTCTTATCCAAGTGGAATATTGCTAGGTTTTCCACGTCATCCAGGGCCCCAGGCTGGATGGAAGAGAGAGAATTATCGGAGAGATAGAGCCAGCGAAGGTCCTTAGTGCCGTGAAAAGCTCCTGATCTCAGCTCTCTGAGCTTGTTGCTACCTAGTTGCAGGATGAAAAGATTAATCATGGGTGAGAGGAGTCCCTTGGGTAGCTCAGAGATCTTGTTGTGATCAATATAGAGGTAGGTGAGTTCTGTTAAGTTGTCAAAGGCTCCCATCTTGATGACGCTGATGTCATTGTTAGACAAATAAAGGTAAACCAACTGCTTTAGGCCCCGGAAGGCTCCACTGGAGATCTCTTTGATGTGGGAATGCTGGAGGTGGAGAGAGACGAGATTTTTCATGTCTCTGAAGCCATTGGTTGGCAGGACAGGGAAGTTGTTCCTCTGGAGATTGAGGAGCCGTGTCTGCTCAGGTACCTTGGGAATCCTTCTTAGTCCAACATTGTCACAGATGACATGCTGGAGGTCTCCTCCATGGCAGTGGCAGCTTGGAGGACATGCCTGGAGAAGAGAGAAAAGGCATGCCAGCAGGCAGAAGAGCTGGAGTAAGAAACCTGATTGATCCATGGCTGCGATGGATGTGCAGGGAGAAGGAGGAACAGCAGCAGCAGGAAGGGGAGGAGGGAGAAGGGGAGCGAAAGAGAGAAAATGAGCCTGCAGCAAGCTGAACACAGCCCTATTTATAATGTTATTAAAAAACAAAATCCCTACCCACTAACCGCAGGCAGCAGCTAGCTTCCAACTTGGAAGTAACTGGCTTTAGGAACTTGGTGTGACTTTAACTTTTTGGCACCAAACACAGATGGATTCTCCCTCTCTCGCTACTTTAATGCATGGAGCACTCAGCTCCCCCACCCCACTGTAATTTATCAGCAAGACGAGTGTTTGTGCATCTACTGTATTGTTGTGGGAGGAATTCTTCATTTGCTGTAAGCCATGTGTGTAGGAAAACAAAAGCCGCCCCGAGTAGACATGGTCTAGAGGGGCGGGGTAAAAATCAAATAAATAAATAAATAAATAAATAGAACATGCCCCTCCCTCCCTGTTTCTTTAGATACCCTGGGAGGGATTTTCTTGATGCAGTCCAAACAGTGGCTAAAATAAAAGGCCTGCTGTCAGTCCAGCTAATATAGAAAGTATCTTAATTCCTTCACTGTCTGGAACCTGAAGCATCTTTGTTCCACTGAGGCTTCTGTCTGTGTAAGCCTGAACACAAAATAGTACCATTAATACATTTTGTCAATGGCACAATTTCCATGACTAACAAGGCAAGGAGGGGCCCTCTTCTCCCTCTTCACAGTCCCACCTCAAAGTCTCTCTCACCTGTAAACTAGCTGTGCTATTGATGCTAGCACACTAGGCTGTGACTTGTTTGATATACTATGGCCTGCAAGCAGTGGTTCCCAAGTATTCTTGGACTAAAATTCCCAAAAAGCCTTCACCACTAGCTGTGTGGGCCAGAATTTCTGGGGGTTGTAGCCCAAGAACATCTGGGGATCCAGGGTTGGGAACCACTGGTCTATAATACAGCAAACCAATAGAATCAGAGTGTCTGGGCTAGAAAAGTTAATCCTTTATTCTTTTCCTCTTCACTCCACTGTCCCTGAAACCTGCTTACAAATGCACCCACAGCTAGCACAGTGTCGCTTTTTCCCAGACCTGAGGTAGTGGTATAGGGTGTGAAGAATGAGTAGGGGAAAAACATACCAAATGTTTAGAGCATTGGAAGTTGGATCCAAGGAGGGAGCCAACTTAGAGGAGTGGGTAAGTCTCTGGGTGGCCAAAGAGACATTGGCACCAGGGTCTTTGCCAGAAAAGCTGTGGCAGCAATACTTCCATCTCCAGTGAATAGCTTGATAGGGAGAGGGAGGGAAAAAGGCAGCCCTGTTCTGTTACAATTTGTTACTTTCCCAATTTGGTCAGGAAAGAACAAGCAAAAGAGCAGCATTGCTTATGAGAGGGTCTGAGCAACCAGACTGTCCATCTTCTTTCAGCTCCAAGAAACACCTCCATGCCGAAAAAAGTCTCTGCTTTTGCTTTCTATCTTTGCCTTCTGAGGCTCTCCAACCAACATCCCCTACGTACCAAAGGTCAGCTTGTTAGGGCTTTATGGGTGTGTGGATATGGGTGTGAATGTGGGTGTGGGTATGGTGTTCTTTTTTTAAAAACACACACACACACACACACACCTTGTCTTGTACTACTTGGCTTGTAATTTGGCCATGGTTAGGTAACTGGCTGATTAAAAGCACCAGGCAGGCATGTCCAGTAATTGCAGCTATAAAACCTGCCAGGGCCTATGCTGCTCTGAGAACTTTGGTTAGCGGGCTATGTAAAACTATAAATAGCCAGTTAGATATATAAGCTGGTTAGATGTGTTTTGGATTACAAATTCTACGACCTGCAACTAGCACAGCTGCTGGCCAATGTATTCCAGGAGTAGTAGCCTCAAACAAGTAGCTTTCCCAGTCTCTAAAGTAGGATGATAAGACTGGGTTGCCTAAGAAAAGCAATTGCATTGTACTTTCCCCATAAAAACTAGCACAGGGATGATAGAGGAAAGGGTGCCCAGCTCAGCCAGAGGCAGATGATGACACAGATAAGAGAAACTAAAAGCTTCAAGTCTTCTCCCACTGGCACAGAGAGAGAGAGGGGTGGGGAGCGAGAGCGAGGCTGAGGGTGGAGAGGCTGGGGATGGAACATTTTGAGCTGGTCCCTCGCCAGGTGCTGGCTGCAGCAAATAGCTGGGAGCTGAGGACATATAACTGTGAGCTTGTTGAGGCTTCCATGGCTGGAGCTGGCGACCAAAGCCCCGCTGGCTGGGGTGTTTACGGAGGCGAGACAGTCTCAAGAAAGGGAGGAAATCCAAAGGCTGATTTAGGACACAGAGACGGGATTATTCTTAGAGTTGTCTGGCTTTTTCCATTGTTGAAAGGAGGCATCACTGAGTATGCGCCGTGTGCTGTTATGCAAACGGCCGAGGATGGCCAGGCCTCTGTTTTGCAGAGGTTTGATTCAAAGAGACTTTTGAATAGAAAGGTGTTTTTTTTTAAAGTGTGTTAATTTTTAGCCATCATTCTAGACAACTCTTAATGTTGGCAAAAGCAGCTAATATTTTTAAATCTTGCCATGCAGTTCTCTCTGAAAGGGAATGGCGAGAGATTGTATATAGAGGTGGCCATTCCAAAGGTGGTTATAATATGTAGTCCAGCCCTGCCTATGCTACTGATTCTTTTACTCCAGGATAGAGAACATGGCCCATAATGCCCTTAATTCTAGCCAGTCTTGCCAGCAATGAAGGACCATAACAGCTGGAGGGGGACATATTTTTACTCCCTTTCCAGATTCTTAGTTTTTGTGTATGTCCAGCATTCCTCTTCTATCCACACCTACAAGTTCTCAGATTTGGTGTTCCATTTCTTCCACTACTGCTGGCTTTAGCTTTTGGCCATGTTTGGTTTACTCACCTTCTTGTATACTCAGCCTCCACTGAGTTTCTGACTTCCAAGCTCCTTCGTTCCTCTAAACTCCTCTTTAACAGTTCTCTGACATCAGGACTCAGATACGTTGGTGGTTTAGGTCTCTGACTGTGGAGCCTGAGATTGGGAGTTCGATTCCCCCACTGTGCCTCCTTGATAAGGGGCTGGACTCGATGATCTATAGGATCCCTTCCAGCTCTGCAGTTCTAATGTCTTCCTTTGTACCTTATGACCTACAGTCCACATGATTCTCTGCCTAGACCCTGAATCCTTCTTCTACCAGATATCACATTAAGTTGTGATGCCAAGAAGGTTTTTTTTCTTTTTAGAATGGCTTTCTGTAGAGTTATAACAGTGGGAATATGCATGCAGAAGCCACAGAATTTTAGACAAACTTTGCAAAGTTCAGACCAGCAAGGAAGAGGCATTGCCCTTTTTGGCTGGCATGAAATTTTAATTCAGCATGAGTCAGGCAATAGTATACCCCAGTTCCACTCCTGCTTATTTCTAGTGGTGAACACTGTAGGGCGTAAGCTTCATAAAATTGCACTCTGCTCTTTTTTTGGATTTCCCACGCAAGAAATTTAGATTGTTACAAAATAAGGACCCAGAAACAATGTACGGTATTGAAAAACATTTGGCTTGCAGATCTGCAGTTTCCTATATTGTACCTATGGTTAATATATTTATCTAGCAGAGTGGAGACCACACAACAACTCCTTGTAATATTTGCAAGAATATTTGTAACAGATAAGCCATTTTACTGGCTCTTTGTTTGTTCAAAATAAATAAAATGGATAGTTTCTGTGGGAGAGGATAACATTGTTATTTACCTGTGAAGTAAATCAGTGTAGATATGTTTTGCAGCACCAGAGAGTAGCAGTACACAGCATTTGAAGAGGCTCTCAAAAAGCATTTTGATGGGAAGAAGATTACTTTCCAGTTTGTTTAAAAAAAGGTAATTAAAAAAAGAATTGCAAAACATAGCAAAATAGCATAGGTACATGTATGCCAGGGACCTGTGATTTTTGTTGTTGTTACATGCTGTAAACTTCCAACTTATTCCAACCACTTCTTGAGCATCTCATATCAGGTATGTGAGATGTTCAAGAAATAGTTGACCATTGCCACTTCCCCCAGTGACTTTCCATGGTGGAGCAGGGATTCAAACCCAGGTCTTCTGTATCCTAGTCTAGTACTTTGTCCACTATACCAGTGATTCTTTTATGTCTCATAACATGCAGAGAGCTTTTATGTAGGCGGGACACAGCAGAATGTCAAAGAGTTTCTATTTATTTAAAGCAGTATGAGTTATATTCTACAAAATCACATCTAAGGACCTGGTGCATATAAATATTCATATATACTATGCATGCCACACACAATGATGCTTTGACGCATAATTAATATCCGTATATCTTCCATAAAGAGCCTGGAGTGATCCTCTGCAGAGGAGGATCCAGAACCTCCAAGGTCAGATGGTCTTGAGGAACAGAATGTGTTTGAAGATCATGAACACTCGGTGCAACCTCTTGCTGAAGAAGCAGGAACCCAAACCTGGTTTAGGAAATTAAACAGCCCACGGACATGGTATGAGCTGAAAGCATGAGTAACATGACAAAGGGGTCTGTCTGCAAGGGAAGCAAGGATATGCCACTGGGAATAGAAAACCTTCCAAGAGAAGTTGAACCCTGACTGGAGCCCTGATAGATCCGTTCCAGGCTGGAGGAGTTGCTAAAACAACATTATATCTGGCTCTGGAGCATGTCAGCCAGTCCTAGACACTGGGCTCTTGCTCCAAAAGACTCTTTGATCTATGAACTTGGACTAGGCTTGGCCATGCTCTTCAACGACCCTGGCCTGGCTCACTTGATCCGTGGGTAGAACCTACTGGTTTGCATGTTGGCCTGCTCCTTTACTGTGGCTCTGGATCACACTTGCTTGATTTATCTGTTCTCCAGGAGGATGCTTTCGAATGCAAACTTCTCACAGTTCTGATTGCTTGGAAGGAACCAAGTGCACCAAAGCTTATATCATAGTAACATTAATTCTGAAGATGCCACAAAACTCCTTTCAGTGTTTACTTCTAGGAGGAGCTTGTGGAGACTGAACATTTCTGACATAATTGATGCCTACTTTTTGCCA